CTGGAATTGGTATTTCCAAATGTGCAGTCTGATTGTGTATCTGGTGAGTGCACAATCTTATCACTTATATCACCACAATACCTGACCAGATCACTGGATTTGAAGATCTTCAAGATCTCATATGCACCTTAATTGTAGACTATTGTCTGATTTATTGGTCCCACACTTTGCACCTGATTTGTCACAACTCAGTGACATGGCTATCACTTCATGTCACACTTTATGCAGATTTATTAATTCACCACAGACTGTTTTATGCGTTTTTTTCTATGATGTATGCATGCATTTATTGTTTATGGAACTGACACGTTTTATATCACTGAGTCACTTTATTTAATGTGTCTATATTATTCGATATAAGTATAGATATTTGCCTTATGGTTATTCATTTAGCGGTACACTCTGCTTTTACAATTTATCTGGCGGTTTTATATGGTACCTTTTGGTGTTTAGCAGCTTTATCTTGTTTTAGGCGCTCGCTTCCTTTCTTAGACTATCTATTGTTTGTACCCTACTTAAACTTGTGAAAATAAAGGAATTACAAAAAAAGTGTCCTGTACAAGAGGCGTAGAAGGAAGTGATGTTATCAGGTACAGTGACATTGAGACTGGTGTCCTTGAGAGATAGAGGGGAGAAGGTGGCAGTGAGAGAGCCTAGAGCCATATCTGAGTAACCTGGAATATGTCACAATATGCGTATTTATCCCAGTGAAAGGTTATGCACCCAACAGTTTCAGTAAGCATTGTGAGAGTTTTTAATTGAATAAAAGTTTTAAAGATTTCACACTATGGTAGTCTCCCTCCATCTTTCCTTACATGTTATGTGAGATACAGTATATAAAAAGAAGGAATATAGTTGGCCCAGGAAAGGCAGCTAATGATGGTTACCTATGATACGTGCTGTATGACTAACCTGTGATAGGTACTCATATAAATCAGGTGCGTGTTCTGTGTTGGTGGTGGAGGATCACTGAAACACTACGGCATTGATTGTTTGAAGAGAACACCGTTAAGCACAGACACTTTAACAAGAAACAAGTTATTTTGTATTACATTGTGAAGAATTGAAAGCACAAGGACACTTTTTATGCACAAAGGACACTTTATTGGAATATGTTGCACTTTATGTGTAAATAGCCTATAAGAGGAGCAGTATATATTTTTTTTTATGCACTAGGATGTGTCTACCTTTTTATAGCATGTTTACTTGATGTACTGTATACATTTTTGTAACAGGTTGCACTTTATTTTGTTATACATAAAATCAGTAGTGCTGTATGAGGTGGAGGTTATATGTAAGAGCTGATATGATTTGTATAGCACTTTATTCAGCCTATGTGGTGATTTAGAGAGTAATATCCAAAAGTGCTGGTACATACTATCTAAATCCCAGCATTTGGCCAGGTGCTGGGATAAATTAACTTCCATGCACAAGCAAAACAAGATAGTCGAAGACACTGTAACCAGAAGAAAACTGTGTAAAAATGTCAGTGATGGTAATGGAAAGACAACGGACTTAGCAGTCTTTTCAGTACTGGATTGATCCTTTTGGCAGGTAAATGTGCAAATACAATGTGCACCAGCAGCAGAGTTTAGTAATGCTTTAAACGAACACTGTCAGAGATTATTGAAAGCTGCCATTGCTAAAATCTCCTTTGAGCATACTAGTTTCCTGACTGTTATTCTGATGCTTTGACTTCAATACTTTTTGAGTCACTGACGCAAAATGATTGGAGATAAGTCGCTCTAACACAACAACTTCCATCTGTTCATCTTAATTGTGTGTGGGGTGTGTTCTGTAGTTCAGAAAGATATTTTCAGGGCTGTTATAACTGTTTAAGATGACACTGCATAGTGCACAGGAATTTGATAGCTTGGATTTATTGCAGAGTCGACAGGTATTTTTTTTTTTTTTTTTGCAAAATGTCGTATATAGGCAAGCGCTAGAAGTAAATACAGAGCAGCTAGCACAAAGGTAAAGGTAACAACTCCTTATAAAAATGTGGTATAAAACGCTGCACTTTATACCACGTTTACAAGGTATTTTTTGCACCTACTGTATAAGATATAGGCAAACCGATTTCAGTTTTATATTTCAAAGACATACATTGAGCAAGTAAGAGAAATCCACTGTTAGGGTTTACAGATACTAATTTATTGGCTTTCCTTAAATGAATACTTTTGAAATTGACAAACACCAGCCACCAGCAATGTATTTGTTAGCCACTTACTCCCGTTCTAGTATTTTGTATAGCTGTACTGTTACTGCGCTCCGCAATCCAAATCTCACTCAGCAATAGTTGTGGTAATCAGAGGATAAATGGAAAAGGTCACAGTGGGCATGTGCTACTTGGCAACTCAGTTCGGCTTCTAATTACCTGACCACCTGAAACTGAGGATTCACATACAAAAAAATTAGGACATTAGGAAAAAACACAACAGAATCCATGACTCACAAAAGATATTATATTACTTTTTTGTTGGATTCAGCATAAATGTGCTTTTATTCACTAATTCCCCAGGATCTAACTGAGCTGCATTGCTGAATACATATGAGTTGGAGCAAGGGTGCAACACCTAAAGGTTTAGCATATTGCAGAACTTGGGGCTTTCTGGATAAAATATCTTTGAGAGAATAATGCCTAATATATTTAAAATTACATTCGCTATGTATACCCTGACTTCTTCACGCTGTATTCATTATGTCTTTCCTTCTTCAATTCTATAACAGTGCTTCATAAAATGGCTTAGAAAATGTCAGATGATCATGTCTGTTTATGACACTTTTACTAAAAATAAGCATCTATTTATATTTGTTTGCCATAGTTTATAACGTATGAGTAATGGTCTTGGGGATTAGATATCCTATACTGTACCATCACTGTATATGAAGCATTTGTAGCAAAGTACAAGCTACACTATTTAAAATGCAAATATCCTTTTACAAAGTCTGAAAGACTTTGTTTTGCTGGCTTACCAACTTACATGAATTTAGAGATAGCATGGTCAATATTACATTTATTTAAGTTAATTTAACCACTTGCCTACCGGGCACTTATACCCCCTTCCTTACCAGGCCAATTTTCAGCTTTCAGCGCTGCCGCACTTTGACAATTGCGCGGTCATGCAACATTGTACCCATATGAAATTTTGATAATTTTTTCCTCACAAATAGAGCTTTCTTTTGGTGGTATTTACTCCCCACTGGGTGCTTTACTTTTTGCGCTATAAATAAAAAAGTGCAAAAAATTTAAAAAAAAAAAAAAGTTTCTTTGTTTCTATTATAAAATTTTTCAAACAGGCATTTTTTCTCCTTCACTGATGTGCGTTGATGAGGCAGCACGGATGGGCACTGATAGGCGGCACTGATGGGCACTGATAGGCAGCACTAAAGGGCACTGATAGGCAGTACTAATGAGGTGTCACGGATAGGCGGCACTAATATGCAGCACTGATAGGCGGCACTGATAGGTGACACTGATGATGGGTACTGATAGACGGCACTGACTGGCATCACTGCTGGGCACTGACTGGCACAACCCCTGGGCACTGACTGGTGGCACTGACTGGCAGCACTTCTGGGCTGCACTGGTGGGCGGCACAGGTGGGTGGGCACAGGTGGGTGGCACTGGTGGGCACAGGTGGGTGGGCACAGGTGGGTGGCACTGCTGGGCACATGTAGGTGGCACTTCTGGGCACAGGTAGGTGGCACTGCTGGGCACAGGTGGGTGCACTGCTGGGCACGGGTGGGCGGAGCTAGTGGGCGCACTGCTGGGCGGAACTTGCGGGTGGCACTGCTGGGCACCGATCATCAGGGCACTGATCATCAGTGCCCTGATGATCGGTGCCGATCCCCGCTCTGACAACTGCCGGTTCTCGGCAGTACTTTCCTCACGATCTGACAGTGTGAGGAAAGTGCAGCCGAGAACCGGCACTTGCATTTCCCTCTGATCAGCGTGTCATTGGACACCGCTGATCAGGTGGTAAAAGGCCGCTGTGATTGGCCTTTTTACCACATCACGTGATCAGCTGTGTCCGTAGGACACAGCGATCACGGAGATCGCCTGGTGCGCGCCCCCTGGGGCGCGCAGGAGAGCGCGTTCTGGGAGGACGTCATATGACGTCCACCCAGAACTGGCCGGCCGCGGTGAAGCCGTCATTCGGCTATGCGTGGTCGGCAAGAGGTTAACTGGGAAAGCATCCGGTAATATATTGTTGTGCGTATGTCTTGCCTTCCATAAAGATGAAGTTTAATTGGCTTATGTTTTGCCTTCCTTAGTTCCTTCTTACACCTCTCACAAACATGTCAATGTAATTTAAAAGACATTTTTATTTCCAATACATACCTTATTTTTAAACCTAGGGACAAAATCTCTGGATTTCTGTGCTTTTTCTATGCAATGCAGGAAAATCAGGGCTCGTGGCAAGGTCCAGTAATGTGCTGTACATAGCCTCCTCAAAGCATCAAATCACCCTGTCTCTGTACTCTTCTCAAGTGCCCTCAGCCCTGATGCAAACAGTGTACAATCTCTTAGGAGAAGTTAATATATATCAAAATGCCTTGATGGGTTAATGTCAGTCTGAAGGAGGTGTTCCTAGACAGACTGTATTTGTATGCAGACTACCCTAGTTACACCCACATTCGATGCTGAGTCTCAATGAGAAAAAAAAACTGAAATCCAATAAATGAAAGGAGCTGAATGTCCCCCAGCCTTGGGCAGACTGACAACTCATGGGGCCCCCAGGCAATTGGGGATCATGGGGCCCCTGTGTCCTTGCCCACACTCAAAAAAGCCTATAAAAAAGGTACCAGGGGCATTTCATGGGGCCCACTACTGATCCCAGGCCCTTGGCAGTGCCCGAGTGCTCGAAGGGTCAATCCACCCCTGCCCCCAGCCATAGCTGATTTTACTGCAACCTGTAGTGCACATTGCAATTTCAGCACAGGAGTGGGAAGTCTGAAAGTAAGGCCGGATTTCAGCTTTAACCACTTCCATACAGGGTACTTTTACCCCCTTCCTGCCCAGGCCAATTTTCAGCTTTCAGCACTCACACTTTGAATGACAATTGCACAGTCATGCAACACTGTACCCAAACTAAAATGTCATCATTTTCTTCACACAACTAGAGCTTTCTTTTGGTGGTATTTAATCACCTCTGGGGTTTTTATTTTTTGCTAAATTAACAAAAAAAGACCAAAATTTGTTTTAAAAAAATAACACGTTTTTCTTTGTTTCTGTTATAAAAGTTTGCAAATAAATAATTGTTCATAAATTTAGACCAAGATGTATTCTGTTACATTTCTTTGGTGAAAATAACCCAAATTAGTATTTATTATTAAGGCTATGTTCACACTAGCTTTGTACGACAGGCGTTTGGGAAGCGTTTTTTTAACGCTTCTCAAATGCCTCTAAAAATTCTGCACATGGCAGCACACAGTGCTGTTCACATGGAAGCTTTAGCGTCATGGTAAAACTGATGCCTCTGGTCAAGTCAGGAGGAGTTGAAGCCTCCCATTCAAGTCTATGGTGCCGCTCTGCAAATGCCTGTCTGGAATTTGCGGTGCGGTTGCAAGGCATTTGTGGAGCATTAATACCATTTAAACTTCATTATAGCAGTTTGTGGTGTGGTTTTAACGCTTGGCAAACGCTTATCAACTGCCTCAAAACCGCGCATAGGGCATTTTGGGAGCATTTGAGGAGTGTTAAAAACGCTTCACAAATGCCTGTCTAAGGCTTGTCCAATGCTATAGGGGCATTTGGCAAGAGTTAGAAATAAAGTCAAGTGTGAATGAGCCCTAAGTCTGTAGGAAAGTTTTATAGAGTTCACAAACTATGGGATATATCTGAAAATTGATCAATCTTGAAGTACTGACAGCCAATCTAATTTCTTGAGGTCCAAGAATTTCAGAACAGTACAGTTTTTTTTTTTGTCATTTTTTTTTTGAAAATTAAGTAATTAAAAATATAATTTTTCATTTTATTTTTTTTTACATACTGTCACCAGTGCAGTACAGCGTCATCATATAACTGGCATGGTGGTGATCAGGGACACTGACTGGTGACAGTACGAAAAAAAAAAGGATGATTTTTTTTTTTATTATTATTTTTAATTTTTTACTAAATTTTTTTTCTCTTTTTTAAAGATTTTTGTTTTCATATTTCACTATGACCAAAGTAGGATAATGTTACTATAGTAAAAAAAAAAGCAGAGATTTGAACACATCCCATAGGAAACCATGTTAAATGGACTGCAGTGCATTTCTGCAAAAAAGCACTTAAATACACATTGGTGTGAACCAGGCCTAAAGACTTGAGATCATGTGATCACAATTAACAAAGCACAGTGATCACAAAAAAGTTTGTATACAAACATTCCTTGCTATTTTTCCTTTCTCTCCTTCTCATGGCAGTTACAGCTCTGAGGAGAGAAGGAGATATGTGTGGAAGGCATTTACAGTGAAACGTAGTGTAAAAAAATTAAGTTTATGATATAAAAAAAAATATACTATTATATTGTGTTTAAACTGAAAATAGCTGCCAACTGCATATGGGTGGTAAATGTAACAGACTGGGATACAGCAAGTAATGGCAAGTCGGATATCATGGTTATTCTCCCATCCTGATGAGGAGTCTAATGATCTCTGCAGTTTAAAGTAGTGATAGCACTGTTTTTCAAGTGTCAAAATATCCAGGCCTAACTATATAGAATTGCAAAGGGGTCCTGATTCAATTAACCAGGGTTCAGCAAATATTGTTCGAAATTTGCTGAACCCGAACTTAGGGGTGAAACATATCAGTCTATAGAGGGTGAATCTTTTTGCAAAATTCTTGCTGTTTTTAGGACTAATAAGCAAACTACTGACAAAAAAGGCATGCACACTGCTAAAGGAGGACCAATGCAAAAAAAAAATATATACATATATACAGTATATATACTGATTAAAACAATTAAGAAAACACATCAGATCTGAATGGGGAAAAATATCATGCTGGATATCTATACTGATATGGACTGGGTAATGTGTTAGGAACGTAAGGATGCCCCATCGTTTGATGGAAATGCAAATTATCAACCTACAGAGGACTGAATTCAAAGACACCCAAAAAAAGAAAAAATTATGCAGCAGGCTAGTCCATTTTGCTGAAATTTCATTGCAGCAACTCAAAATGGTACTCAGTAGTTTGTATGGCACCCATGTGCTTGTATACATGCCTGACAATGTCGGGCATGCTCCTAAAGAGACGATGGATAGTGTCCTGGGGTATTTCCTCCCAGATCTGGACCGGGACATCACCAAGCTGCTAGACAGTCTGAAGCGCAACCTGGCGGCATTGAATGGACTGAAACAGGATATCACAGAGGTGTTCTATTGGATTTAGGTAGGTAGGCCTAGCGTGTGGGCCATTCAGTGGTATCAATTCCTTCATCCTCCAAGAATTGCCTACATACTCTTGCCACATGAGGCTGGGCATTCTTGTTTACCAGGAGGAACCCAGGACCCACTACACCAGCGTAGGGTCTGACAATGTGTCCAAGGATTTTATCCCGATACCTAATGGCAGTCAGGGTGCCATTGTCTAGCCTTTAGAGCTCTGTGGGTACCTCCATGGATATGCCTTGCATGGACCACTTCTTACTTCGATGTCCCTTCAATGTAGAGGCGTATAAAGAGGTGGGGAGGGCTCTAGGCATCCCCTTCCTGCACTGCCTGTCTTATGCAGAGTGGGTGTATGGGGCATTGGAAAGTCATACTGGCTTTGATTTGAATACACTGTTTCTAGTTTACCTAGTTGTCTGTTATTACACATGGAATGCACGGTGTCAGGTCTCCTTGCGGCAGAAGGTCCTTCCTGTTCAGGTGGTGGTGTTGACATCCTTGGTGAGGTTGGTAAAATTCGGGGTCTTGAGAAAGACAGGCTGCGGCAAAGGGTCTGGATAAAGGTGTGAAGGAATATCAGGCCTGTAGCGGCAATCTGTTGATCTCTTGGTGTGGTTGCTGTCCTGCTTTTCTCCTCTCCTTTCACCCCCCTTAGATTTTGTGTGAAGGTTTCTTTTTGAGAATGGTCACGGATACCTGAAAGTCTAGGTTTCTTAGCCTTTGTTGGGTAACATATTAGGTTTTCGTGTGTATTAGAGTCGTATACGCAGATATTTTTGAGTGTGATTCCCCCTCATAAGGGGTGCGGTGTTGAGAATTCTGGTGAGCCTTAAAGGCCTGTACACTTGAATAAGTGTGATTTTCCCTGAAAGGGAGTTAATTTGTGCCGGAAGGGCGTGAAGATGTGAGTAATTTACAAGGCTGGTAAGGCCTTAGTATATTGTCTTTCCTTTTAAAATTGTAGGCCATATAGGCCAGTTTTTTTTTTTTTTTTTTGCAAGTAGGTTGCCCTTTATAGGGTTTAAAATTATATGCCTTTGTGCTACGGTCGTAAAGACCAGTTTTTTGTGTTTCTGATACTTACTGCGGTGTGCCCTGGAGATTTATCCAGTTTCTATTTTGTTTATTACCAGTATGATGGCTTATGTTATTTATTTTGTGTATTTTTTTTTACTTTTGTATAAAATTGTATGCTGGTTGCAAGATCTATTTTGAATAAAAATATTTCCATGGATATGCCTCTCCAGACCACCGAAACGGTCATGATGAACAATGTTACAGGCAGCATAATGTTCTCCATGGCTTCTCCAGACCCTTTCTATCATATGTGCTCAGGGTGAACTTGCTTTCATCTGTGAAAAGCACAGGGTGCCAGTGGCAGACCTTCCAATTCTGGTGTTCAATGGCAAATGCCAATTGAGCTTTATGGTGTCGGGCAGTGAGCACAGGGCCCACTAGAAGATGTCGGACCCTCAGGACACCATCATGAAGTCTGTTTCTGATTGTTTGGTCAAAGATATTCACACCAGTGGCTTGCTGGAGGTCATTTTGTAGGGCTCTGGCAGTGCTCATCCTGTTCCTCCTTGTACAAAGGAGCAGATACTGGTCCTGCTGATGAGCTAAGGACCTTCTATGACTCTGTTCAGCTCTCCTAGAGTAACTGCCTGTCTCCTGAAATATCTTCCATGCTCTTGAGACTGTGCTGGGAGACACAGCAAACTCTCTGGCAATAGCACATATTGATGTGCCATCCTGGCGAAGTTGGACTGCCTGTGCAACCTCTGTAGGGTCCAGGTCAATGACATTGACCTTAGCCAAATGCAAAAGTAGTGAAAAACAGCCAGAAAAGATGAGTAGGGGGAAAAAATGTCAGTAGTCACCAGTAAAACCATTCCTGTTTTGGAGGTTGTCTCATTGTTGCCCATCTAGTGCACCTGTTGTTAATTTCATTAACGCCAAAGCAGCTGAAACTGATTAACAACCTCCTCTGCTACTTGACTGACCAGATCAATATTCAAGGAGTTTAATTGACTTGATGGCATACTCTGATTAAAAAGTGTTCCTTTAATATTTTTTTTTTTAGTGTGTGTGTGTGTGTGTGTGTGTGTGTGTGTGTGTGTGTGTGTGTGTGTATATATTATATATAGATAGATAGATATACTCACCAGCCACTTTATTAGGTATACATGCTAGTACCAGGTTGGACCCCCTTTTGCCTTCAGAACTGCCTTAACTCTGCATGGCACAGATTCAACAAGATGTTGGATGGAAACAATCCTCAGAGATTTTGCTCCATATTGACATGTCAGCATCAAGCAGTTGCTGCAGAAGTGCTGCATATCTCTCGTTCCACCACATCCAAAAGTGCTTTATTGAATTGAGATCTGGTGACTGTGGAGGCCATTGGAGTAGAGTGAACACACTGTTATGTTCAAGAAACCAGTCTGAGATGATTTGAGTTTTTGTGACATGGTGCATTATTCGGATGGAAGTAGCCATCAGAAGATAGTCATAAAGGGATGGACATGGTCAGCACAATACTCAGGTAGGCCGTGGTGTTTAAACGATGCACAATTGGTACTAAGGGGCCCAAAGTGTCCCAAGAAAATCTAGAATGTTGCAGCTGAAATTGAGACTCATCAGACTAGGCAACATTTTCCAACCTTCTATTGTCCAATTTTGGTGAGCCTGTGTGAATTGTATCCTCTGTTTTCTTTTCTTAGCTGACAGGAGTGGCA